CTTCATTGTAGCGAGTGCAGGCAGATTTGGAGGAAAATTCAGCTTTGGGTCTTAAGGCTGCTGATGGGGGCTCATAGCTGGGATTCTGAATGGATTTTGACAACCTCTGTCTAACAAAAGGCATGTATTTACATAGGAGAGAATGGGTTTTGGCCAGTTTGTTTAACAAGAGGCAGGGATTTACAGGTTGGGATTATCACAAGCACCTGGCCCCTACCCCCCTATAGGTAAGAAGTTTTACAACTAATGGCACCTGGGATGAGATCAACTAATAGAGTTTGGATCAAACTAGTAAGGCTTGTCACTTTGCTCTGAAATGTGCAAGTTGTTTTTCAGAAATACTGGATGTAGCCATCATTCCAATCCCTCTTCTACCTCAAGTCCATGGTTTTTGAATTGGTTCTGTGGTCCTGAACACCCACGAGACTCTGGATTGCTGGGGAATAGCACATGCATTCTTCTTAAGTTGCCTATTTGGTGGTAAGAACCAACATAACAGGATTCACCACCTGAGTCCTCAAGACCTCCCTTTGTGTGATAGCCTATGAGGAAATCCACCTTCTTTTCAAGCTCTAGCAGCCCATTGTGTGTATAGACCACGTGATCTTTATCCGCTCATTTGTTGAAGTTCTACCTCCGGGGCTATTGTGTAAGTGCCTCAATGAACGTGAGAGCGGATACTCTTGGACAGCCTGTTTTCAATTCTTTGGTATATACACTTAGAAGCGGTAATGCTGAATCGTTTGCTATTTCTTTGTTTAATTTTTTGAGGCAACACCCAACTGTTTCCATAGTGGCTGCGCCATTTTACATTCTCACTAACAGTGCATGTGCTTTTCTAATTCTCTGCATCCTCACCGACAGTTGTCCTTTTACTTTTTCTTTTTATTTATTTTTTTTGATAGCGACCTTCCCATTGGGTGTGAGGAGCTATCTCATTGTAGCCTTGATTTGCATTTCTCTGATGATTAGTGATGTTGAGCGTTTTCACAGATGTTTGATGACCAAGTTTGGTCATTTCTTTTACATTATTCATTAAGCGCCTTTATTCTGTATTGTCTGTAGGAAGCCTTCGCTTTGAGAGGAGACTTTAACAGTGAAGGCTCAGGCATGGGCAGATAAATACAGGTAGCATCCTGTGTTTCAATGGCAGTAGATTTCTGTTCACTTTGTTTCACCTCTTTCTTGCCATCTTGCATCATCCTCCCTGCTAAAAAGGTGTAAGGAAGGGAAATATCATAAGATTTCCTCAGAGGAGGAAAGGTTTTGGATTTGGGGAAATCTTTCTTATTGTCTTCTAGAGAAATCCATTTGCTTGCCCAATTCTCATGACTCACATTCTCTTATAATACACGACGCAATATAAAGTTTTCACTGTCTCACTAAAAAAAAATTCTCTGCTCAAACACAAATACAAATAGAACCTGGGCTAATCTTGTGCTATATAAAAATAGACTTAACACGTTAATTCATATGCAATGGTTCAAACAAGTCAAAACCAGTGAAATCATTGCTGTATAACTAACAAGCTTTTAATAAAGCTGTTTGGTATGATATAATTTGGAGACATCTAATTTTCACACGCAGGGACTCGGTATATGCTAATTTGCAGTATGTGATTCAGGACCAGACAGGAATCAGAAGATAGTCACAGTATCTTTCTACCAGACTTAGCCTGGAGGATTTGTTTCTGGATGCCTGTGGCTGAGATCCTGGGCTGGTTTTATAAATTGGGCTGGTTTATAAACATAGGGACAGAATCCCTGCATATTTCATGGAGGTGTGGTGAAGATCATGGAAGAATGAATGTTGAAGCCTCTTTTATATGAAATGTTTTATGTAAATATAAGAACTTTCACATTAAAACAGAGAAATAAGTAGAGTTTTGTAGATAAAACTTCCCTAACTTAATATTCATCTATCTTTCTAAAACGTCATAAAGATATCATTTTTCAGAGGGGGAGAAAACTTCTAATCAAGAACCATGATTCTCTTGGGCAAAGAAGTGGAATCCAACAATAAAAGGAGCTTTAACTCTATAAAGAAGAAAGGCAAAGGGCACTTTGTATTTTTTCCTTTATTTTAATGGAGAAAACCTTCACCAGGACTTGATTCTAGAGCATCTTCAACATCACAGACTTTGCAAGATCTTCTAACAGTTGATTTCCATCCAGGCGGCCAAATTAGTTGTGCCTGAATTGACTAATGGTTGAATTGTTTTGGTTTGTATATTTTTTAAAGATTTATTTATTTATGTATACAAGAGCTGGGGTACAGACCAGAGATGAGGGGGGTGAAAGGATTCACCAGAGACAGAGTGGGGAACAGAATAGGCAGACTGACCGAAGCACACTGCTGAGGGGAGCAGCAGGCGAGTCGGGAGAGGTCTGCTGTGCAATGTAGGTTGCTCCCTGAGTGGCTGGGGATCAAACTCATGCTGCAGAGGCTGCGGACCGCCTCATAGTGCAGTACCCAACCCCTTGCACTCCCAGGGAGGCCCTGATTTGTATTTTTGATCGCTTAACCACCTGAACAAATAAATAAGCTATAGACAAGGTCAATGTGTGCAAGAGTCACTGAGACTTGAGCTAAACACTGAGGATGATTTCTTTTCTGTGAATGTTTAAACAAAATTGACAAACAGGAGAAAGCAGATCTGATACACACAATTGTGTCCCGGGCATCATGTTTTGGTTCACAGTGGCTTTATGTCCAAAGCTATGCAAGAACCCAGAATCAGGATTGTAATTTTGAAAAAAATCTAAAATGTCTGTATGTCTCTGAATTTTTACACCCTCTGTGCAAGTAAATGTCTATATATTCCTGTTCACATACTTGTCAATTCTCAGAGCATCCTTGGATAATTTAATTGAGTTGATAATTTCTGTAATGAAAAAAATTACCCTTATACACTTCACAGTTCTGGAGCTCAGTTTATATCATGGCCTTGTCTGCATGACTGGGTAAGTTGTTAATTTCACTCTGCTTCATTTTATTCAGTATAGAGCCGACATTATTATTTCTACATCATAGGGTTCCTATCAAGATGAAGGACTTAAAGAACTTAGCACAGTTTCATGTTGTAATGTACTTTAAAATGCTACTAATGCCCCCAGCAAGGCTGCTGGCAAGGGATGTGCCCTTTTAGGATTCTGGTTTATCCAATGGGAAAGACCAGAACTTTGACCATTACGCCAAACACGGCTGCTCCTGATTAGCTGTGCAATCATTTCCCACCAGCTAACAGCTTGTGTGTGAGTCTCTAACTACACTGGAGTACGAGATCATATCTGGGCTCAGATATTTGCATTTGCATTTTCTCTGCCTGGAAATCACAGGAATATCACCAGGGGAGGCTTTCTTGGATTGCTGGTCTAAAGAAGCCTCCTTAGTCACTTTCACATCTCCTGTGTCAATTCCTTCACATCACCTCCACATTTTGATATCATCTTGCGTATGATGTACATGTGTTTCCAATCTCTCCTCCTACCAGGATGTAAATTTTTTGAGAGCAGAAATCTTGAGAGCCAGGTCTGACAAATGATTAATTGCTTATTACACATCTTTTGGAAGCGTGAATGACTCTTACTGCCAAATTAATGTTTTATTTAAAAAAATCCACAGATGCAAGTTCTTATTGAAGAGAAGATAACTTCATTGTAGATAAGTATTCTTCTACTTGCCTCGAAGCCAGTTTACTAGACTTCTTTCTGTTTCTCTCCATATTTGAGCTCTCACAGGATACATTTTACCATTTCTCTCTGTTTCATGTTCCAGGCTATGCAAGAACATGAGTTCCTTAAGCAAGTTAGAAACACTGGCTTCTAATTCCTCCTAGTTATGCTGTATTTCCCCTTGACGAGTCAATAAGATATATTTGGCCAGGTGTTTATATCAGAACATAAATGTGTCTAAGGGATGGAGCTGAATCTACAATAGATGAACTGTGAATGTCTATTCAAGTAGATAAACTGGTGACTAGCTCTCCAGACATGAAATAACTGAATTGCCAAATTGCCCCAACTTTTCAAGTCAGTGTTTTAAAAGTCAATGTTATCCTTCATATTTCTGTGCATATTTTGACCGTATCTCAGTCCATTTATCCCAAGAGCAAATTAAAATAAATAATTGTTTCCTGATAAAAGAGATTGTGGTTTTATGATTTTTTTTCCTCTAAAACCATTTGGATGTTTTTCCTTGTTTCCCTGGTATTTCCAAATAAAAATTGTCCACATTCTGGTTTTGTAGATGGAGTTATACTCAAGCTCTTTGTTTTTGTAGAAATCACTTTTCTCAAAAGAAATCAAAACAGCAATAATGTGAGCCAAATTATAGGATTGTTTATAGCTAAAATGTTAACTATTACAGTTAAGAATTCCTGATAACTTTATATATATAGTTCCTTTATTTTAAAGAGCAGTTCTGAAATAAGTGATGTGTTTGTAATGATGGTTAACTCTAGTGAAGAATGGATAATTTCCAACTGGTGGTTTTCAACCAGTAACACAATACTTAAGCAGGTTTAGCACAGAGCAGGGGTTTACTAATTATCTGTTACGGGAATTTTAGCACATTATACAATATACAGCATGTCTGAGAGCATGGAAGCTTTCAGAAATATAAAAATCAATGCTCTTTGCTGAAGTTGGAAATTGTTAGTCCTTTTACAAATTGTCTTATTTCTACGACTTCATTTATAAAGTATTGACATCACTTCTAAGCCACTAAATATTTTCTTAGAAAGGAAACCAATACAAAAAAGGAGAGAAATAGTATTTTCAATACACATTTAGAAAGCTCTAAATGTTCTGAAAGTTCATGATTGCAAATGCCAAGTGTATGTGTGTGAGTGGGGTTGATGTTTCCTGTGGTTATTTTCTGTAATATTGTAGCTTTTAAAAAGGTTTTTTTTTTAAACAAAAACTCTGAAATTTAGGTTGACAATAATTAAGAAAATGCAGAAAGGGCACTGATAGATTTTTAAAAACTATTTTAATACAAGATTAATAGCAATTTTCTATCCAAATCAGAAATGAAAAATCTTAACCCAAATAATATTCTTTTGACAGTCACATAAAATTTTAGGTTTGATTGGTGCACACAATTGTCCTGCATATATATTACGCATATGCACACAGAGACCTCACTATTATACCATCTTTAGGTGTCTCTTCATGGAAGTACCTCTTTACAAAGCAATGTCAAAGATTCCAGCAACTGTTCAACTTTGAATGAGGCTCAAGTGTCCCCACGCTAAGCTGAGTCCATACTGTAGCAAACCATGAAGTAGCAAGGCTCCAGAATGCATACAAATCAACACTCTATTTGTATAACTTGGCCTAAAACTAAACACTGGCTAATGTCTCCAACAAGGAGGAACACATTGCAAATTTATAAGTTATGGTCTCCTTTACTCTTCTGTTGGCAAAGCTAAACTGCCTTTTTTTTTTTTTAAGTTAAAAGTCAGGTGTGTTAGTGACAGTAAGTAAATGAAAATGAGCTTGAATTTCTGCAAGTTTTGGACAAGTCAACACTTGTGTTTGCTAACACTTCCACCTTTATTCAAACCACCTGATAATTAGCCTTGCAAAGAGAAGTCCTAAAGGAATCACAACTCAAGGAATTTGCTAAGTTTTTATTCCTCCCTGGCGACTTTAGTTGGTGTTCAGTGTGTAGCCAAAACAGGCATGTAATGGCTAAAGAATTAAAGTAGGCTAATGTCTGCAGCAGGGAATATAAATTAAATATCAGGGTTCTGCATCCAATAATATTTTCAATGTGTTTGATTTATAGAATGTTAAAGTTATAATTACTACTTCTTGTCAATGAATAATAGTGTTTTTCAGTATAGACAAAATAGTATTTTCGATCCCTTACATTGCAAGTAAGTAACCCATGTTACTTATCTGGGTGAATCACTGTAAGGGAGTCAGGTTGCTAGTGCTAAGGTCGTGCTACATGGCTATAATTATAGTATCGACTTCATTTCAATGACTGAAGGTTGTCATGCTCTCCTTCAATACAGACCCAACAGCAGGGCTCTAATTCCTGAATTTGCAATTCATTCTTCTCTGCTAAAGACTTTAGCCTCTGTTTAATTTTTGTTATAACATATACAAAGTATAATATACACCAATTACAGACGTGTATTTCTGTTAGAAAAATACATATTATAACTAAAGAACATGTAAATAGAGGCACTTCAATAAGCTAAGTGTTTGCAGTTATGAGCATCACCCAACAATTTCTAGCATCCGATTTCAGTGAGCCCAACCCTCTCTACTCATAACAGAGGTTAAGATGCGATTACAGTTTAGGAGACATCTAAACAAAGGAGGGCAGGTCAGGAAAAATAATGGAGCATCAATGCAACCCCATTGCTATGGTGAAACCCGAGAAATTGATTTGGCAGGGTGGGGGTGGGGAATGGGGAAGAGATTCCAAAACACTTACTAAAATGGGGCAACTTGATTAAACTAATTCCCTTAGGGCAGGAAAAAAAACACTCGTGTTAACTTGGTGTGAAAATCAGATGACATAGTAGGATGATGATAAAGACCAGGAAGTACACTTCGAATATGTTGACCACACTCATGCAGTGATTAATATTGTGGCATCATCTCTGCCTGGCTTGTAAGGATCACTACAGCTCACCAGTAAGAATAATATTGAAAATGAAGGTGCTGAAACCAACGAAGCAGGAGTTTATGTATCATCTCCGTGTGTCGTGTGTACAGAACCTGGGTTCACATTCATTAATATAATGTGTATTTATACACGTGCACAAAACCTTTTTGGGGGTGACAGCAGAGGGAAAACAAGGCATTCTGTTTTCATAGAAGACAATGCAGAAATATTTAAAAAATGAAAGACTTGGAGTTTAAAGCCATAAACAAATTATTACTCAACTATTCTGGAAAATCAAGGTTGATTTAATTTGAATTGCACCCTAATTACTGGAGAAAGACAATACTGATTTCTGAACAGAACATAAATGAATGAGCAACATAAATGATTGACCCTTCTTCCTTCATCGAGATGTTTTATGTACAACTGGTGATGGAAAGCCAAGGTTTAACGTTTGGCAGTGAAATGGATGGATTTTTGGATGTGTGGAATGCTCAATTAGATTAAGTGTCAATTTCATATAGATTTACATGAAAGGATGCCACAAAATCTCTCAGGATCTTACATTTTGCATTTCGTTAGGCATAAAATAGCAATAGATGCTTCAAAATACTTTTCAGTTTTGCGAAAGTGCTCAAATATGTTTAATACTATTGTGCCCCACGCGTCCTACTTAAATGTGTTGACTAAATCAATAACTAATTATAATTTTGATGAGTGGAGATCGAAAAATACTATTTATGTGTCATTACCAGCAGTGGGTAAATTAAAATGTGACTGGACGATGGTGTCTTGAGACATCAGCTTTCCCAACCCCAGATGCATCATCAAAACCAAGAAACACATGGATAGCCGACTATATTTATAAAGCCCCAGTTTGGTTTATTTAGCTTCTCTCCATCAAGGGGAGCCTAGGGTCTGGCTTTGGCACACTGGGTGGATCAGTTAGGCTGAGGCTCTTAATTGGCCTCTTGAATTAGGTCATTTCCCCTGCTGGGCAGGAATCCTAGGCTGAAGGCATCGTACATGAGAGCGATGGTTTGTATGGTTACCATGTTATTTCCATCTATGTTTTCCATCCCCAGTAAAGTCCTACATGCCCCATGGCTCCCCCATGAGCTCGGTAAGTCTGGGGCACCCAGGACAAAGCATGTCCATGCGAAAAGGGTGTGCCCTGGCAAACTTTTAATAAATGGACAGTTAGATACGTAAAAAGTTCTCTTTCTTGCTTCTCGGTGCTCACAGGTCATTGAGGAACCCCGTCTCCGAGCAGCACAGAACAAGAAGAGCTGGTTGACAAAACATTTTCATTACAAAGGTGTGTCAACCCTGAGCTTGGAATTAAGAAGTTAAAATCTGTGATTTATATATATATCGATATAAAAATAGATGATCATACTAAGACTAAAAAAGTGAAAGAAATCTCCATGTCAATACTATATATATTTTTTTGTCTTGACCTTTTTTTTTTTTTGTTGTGAGTTATTTTGTAAGAGAATGCCCTTGTGATGCCGAAACCAACTGACACAAAGCAAATCGTTAAAGAACGAAAACTCACTTATGGATCGAATTGTTTATCCGTCCTGAAAGGAACTCTTACTTGGGGAGGGTAATGAGCACAGGGGCAGAAACATCTAATTAATGTCAAACCTGTGGCAAAAGCAAAGGGGTTGTCTTGTTGAAGATTATTTCAATTCAGACTCTTGAGGAGGATGAACTGATGGGGTGGCCACTAATAACTGAAGGTGAAGGGAAAACTGGTGCCAATTGGATACAGTGGGCAGACGTGAGAGAATCCACGAAATGGTGCCATTGCTGAAATAGAAATTGGGCAGGGTGAGAGGGAGGCGCTGAGGTGTAGTAATTTTTGCTCTCCTATTAAAAACGGAATGCTAAATTTAGCGTCAGTACCTCCACATTAGTTTGGTCTGCGTGGTTACTGTGCAAGCCAATACCTCCAAGACGGCAGTGTGTTTTCACTGCATTAAGAAAAAAATCCAAACTTTCTCCCCATGAGCATTTGTAAACCCCATTTATCAAAGGAAACTTCGACTGGGAGTTGCTAGCAATGCTCAACTCTCAGTGGTAAAGCTCTTTTATTTCTCTCTCTTGCTTCTTTGTTGAAAATGCAGTTGTCTTGGGATTTGGCCTGATTTTACAAGGGAGAATTATTTTCTTCTACTTTTTTGTTAATGGGGAAAAGAAAAACTCACAACGTGAGATTCCTTTACTTCTGCAGCATAAAAGCAAACGAAGGTAAGAAAATCTCCTGGTACGAAAGATTTGAGTAAGAATTCTCTAGAATAAACAAGGTCCCCACAGATAACTGAAGGAAAGAGGAAGCAGTCCAGTCTGGCACCCGGTACTCTTTGGGAAAACAAAAAGCAAGGCAGAGCACAGTGCTGCCTCTTCTTCTAGAAAACGGTCAGTTTTTGTGGCATGGTCCATTGTCCAAGAGAGTAAGAAAAGAAGTGAGTTGGCCGTTCAAATAGCTAAAATGCAGTTTCGTCTGATCAAAAACCCAGGATTATCTGCCCAGTCTCTGCAGTGCCAGGACAATGCAGACGACAGACCACGAGAGCAGGGAGTGGCCGAGCTGGGCTGCTGAGGCGTCTACTTCCCTCCGGTCCGGATCCACTGCAGGGGCCTCTGTGGTGACAAACTCAAACTCCGTGGGGCACACATCATCCATGCACCCGCTGCCACTCCCCGAGCCGCTGGATTCATCACCTGGGAGGGACACATTGCAAAAAAGAAAGTCAGACCACATCCAGGAAGGAGTGGGGTACACCATAGATACAGGCATGGTGGGGAAAGGCACATCTCCTCACTGAAGGGCCTCCATCCCATCCCGATGGTTTGTTTTTAACGGGCAGGTTTATAATCATCAGCAGGCATGGCCTTAGATGTCTGCAATACAGTTTATGTTTCCCGACCAGTGTCACCCTACCTCAGGAGCACGAGAACCTTAGATCCAAAGGGAGGCCAGACCCATATGCCAGCATTGGCAAGGTATTTCTTGTTCTGGCCAGTACTGCAATTTCTTTAAGAAATTTCATTCGTAGCTTTTCAGAGCCATTACTCTCAGACACATTGTGCTTTTATTTTTTAAAAAAGATTTATTTATTTATGCCTACAAGAACTGGGGTACAGACCAGAGGTGTGAGGATGAGAGGATTTACCAGAGACAGAGTGGGGAGCAGAACAGGTGGATCCACTGAAATACACTGCTGAGGGGAGCAGCAGGCGAGAGAGGATAGGTCTGCTGTGCCATGTGTGGGTCAGCTCCCTGGCCAGGGATTGAACTCAGGCAGTAGCAGTGATAGCGCTGAGACTTAACCCCTAGGCCACTTGGGAGGCCCTTATTTGCTTGTTTTCTTGTCCCTTCTGTGAGAATTTATGTTGAGAGCTGAGACTATGTAAATGCTTCCCTTCTGTGTCCCTAGAGCCTTTCATGGTGTCTGTAATATAGCAGGTGCACAATAAATACTTGCTGGCTAAGTAAACATACCTTGGGGAGTTTCCTCAACTTTTGTCAGTCTCCTCATCTTAACAGAAACACATAATAACAATTACCGGGCAGAGTGAATGTGAAAACACTGGTGAATTGTATGAGGGCACTGAACCCAGTGCTTGCAATGATGCTTGATGAAGAAAAATATGGTTTCTACAAGACGACCTTGATTTTAACCTTTTTTTAATTTTTATTTTAGTGAATTAGGGTAAATCAGATTCAGGAGACTTCCTCATCTATAAAAATGACAACAATCATACCAATTTCACAGAATTGTTAGGGGGCATAAGGACATAACATTTCTGGGGGGACTCGAACTGGTAATGACCTTTCCTCCAGTTGCTCAATATGTCCATCCATGGGCCCTAAACACCCCCTGCTGGCCTGAAATGGTAATGCACCTGTTCAGCTGTACCTGGTGCCATCTTGGCTGCTCTATGCTACTTAAGCCAAGTCATGGGAAGGTGGGACTCTCCTAATGTCCCTATGCACAAGCAAGGCGCCACTCAGCACATTTGTTTTCCTTCTATGGGACATCCAAATACCAGATAAGATCATTGAATATACTAAATCAGGTTCTTAACATTTTCTTTGATTTATCTTTAACAGCTTTTACAAGAAGGAAAATACCCATTAATTAAATTCAGAGATATCAGAATTGCTAAGGGAATTATTCTCAACACTGGTATTATGAACAAGAAGTAATATAACCTTTACAAAAATATTACTAAAGCTATTTAGAATATTAAAAATGTGGTAAGCAAATAATGGCAAGAGATTCCAGCTGAGAAAAATAATAGCCACATCTCTTTCTGAAGAGGAATCACAAATACAGATATTTAAGGGGCAATTTTTAAAAATGTCAAAAGCACTAAGGCTGATGATGGCTATTAGATGTGATAATGGTTTGTATGACAGACACTATCCTAAAACAGAGGGCCAAATTTGGAGTGTGCGTTAGGGCAAAGTGATGTTTTTAACTGTTGCTGATTTCTATTTTCTCCTGAGGGGAAATGCAGCAAGATCACTCTTCAAGGACAATCTGCCCTAAGCTTGGCAGGTTTTCAGGTATATCGGCAATTTAGGTCAAATAGTAGAGACAACCAAAGCCAACATCAAGGAATTCTTATGTGTCTTGAATTAGTTTTTCCAATAGTCATCCTCCAGATAACAAAACATTTTATTAGATAGGAAAGACAGAATGGATAAATGGAGAGGTCTGAGGTTAAGTAATGAACAGGGAGTAGCAACAAAGAGAAACTAGACTCTTGTGTAATGTTCTCTTCCAAAGTGGAAAGGAGAGGGTTGGTAAAGAGAAGGGGAAATAATGGAGGGGCTCAGAGAAATTTTACAACAATGAAGTCTATTAGATGGGCAACTATCCTGTGTTTAAAAAAATAATTTCTGAGATATTTAAAATTGAACAAACACTCAAATTTTTTGCAGGAGACAACTCTGTAGGGTGATGCCTGATACTTAAATCACTTAATGTCTTCCTTCTCTAACTTGTTTCTTTCTACCTCATCTATTCAAGCACACAAGTATCATCTTTTGCTTCAGGAACCAAATTACAGAATCACTGGCAACTCCATACTTTATGTTCAAGAAATCTTTTCCTGAGAACTCTGTCTATAAACATACATATTTTTAAAAAAACAAATCACTTGTTTTTATAGTCATGCACCTTGAAACCAATTAGACGAAAACTCAGATACAGTTCATCTCACTCCATGTTCACATAATACTCTTTCAAATCATCTCTGATATTTTATGATCTTGGATAATTGTCAAGTGCAATATTACATCAGCATTTAACTATTTCTCTCCATGTTTCAGAAACAAAGGTCCGTTGTCTGTCTATGTTCACTGGACAGAGAGGGAAATAATGCAGTTGAATCTACAACAACTCAGAGAGTATCTCAGCTCCTTTACATATGGCCTCAACCCAACCTCCCCATGACCCCTTTGGCAGGAATGATTCCTATTCCATCTAAGAGGGCCCAGAGACTCAGAAAGTAATTTGTTCGAGTCCCCCCCCATATGATAAAACATGGATTGCAGCCTAGCCCGGTCTGAGTAGACCATCTTCAATGCATTCTTCTGTAAGTACTTGGGGCAAGCGGAGGTTGAAGATTGGAAAGAGGCATGAATGCTGATAGGAAAAGGAGAAAGTAGAAGCATTATTTTGTTGTTTATCATTAATGGGTCAACTTGCAAATGAAACTCATTTGACCTCTGATATAGTTGAAAGTCACGTATTGAAACTTCCTTTAGAGTGATGAGAAAATATATTTTTGAGCAAATGAATATAATAAAGGTTCCAGCAGAACTTCCAGCCCAGGTGCAGTGAACATTCCAATGCAGCCATAATCAACAAGTTTGCTCACTTACAGATTCTTCCCTTTCAAGATTCATGGCCAGGGCCTCAGCACTCTTATCTACAAGGTCGGGCAGCCAGCCAAGCTGGTCTCTCTCTCCAAAGCCATCCCTGAACGCCTGCATCTTTCCCTCCTTGCCTTGCCCCCTTTGTCTCGGGACTTTGCTGCAAATGGTCGTGTCTGCTGAAAAACGATGCTATCCATGTAACAGATATGGACACGGTTGTGTATAAAAGGGTGCTCAAACCTTATGGGGCTACCCAGGTCTGGGACCTCATGCATGAGTAATAAAGCTTCTCCTGACCTCACCTGAAGTACCTGAAGCACCGCTTGTTCTTCCTCTGCCTGGGTAAAAGGCTAGAATTTATTTCTAGAACAAGAGCAATTATGACTTTAGGAGCCAGAGTTTTGTGGATTGGAACTCTCAGTTCAAAGGACTGGAAAAAGCTTTGCAGAATGGGCAAGAATGACACAAGATTAAAGGTACATATCGCTTTGGAAGAATTATGGTGTGATCCTCTATGACCACTTGTCACTCCCAAGCTACGTGTCCTGGGGAAGATTTTCTTACTCGTGTCCTGGAAGTTGACGTCATTGCCATTGTATGCATTCTTCAGCTTGTTGGTCATTACACGAAGAGCCATGATCTGCTGCCTGATGAAAGTGTCGGGCCGCGTGATGTCCACATCCACCTCGGGGTTGTTGATCTGGTTGGTGAGCCCATCATTCATGATCTCAGGCAGGTATCTGCAGGGCAGAGAGGGAGAGAACAGACTGGGATGAGGCAGGAAGGACCTCAAAACCAGATTTGGCTTATGTTGCTAAGAGTGAGCCAAAATATCAGTAAATTCTGGCTCAGTGGCTGCAAGAAAAGCCAAACCGTAAACAAAAGGAATGCATTTTCTCAGAGGGAGATATGGGTTAAATGACTTCAGAGTTGTATTTTAAAGAGTTCTGAATTCATAGGTAGGCTTGCCAGCCCATGGATGCTCAACTGGGGACTTCCAGAAATTGTCACTTAAAGCTAAGCACTTTCTCCTTCCATCCCAAGGACTATTTCCTTATGCCAGGGACTTGATAGTTTCCTGGGCTCTCCTGTGAATTTTGCTAATAAGAACTGAACTTGTAAATTACATATGCTCTTAGCAAGTTCTCTTGAGTGAGCTCCTGCTCAATGGAAGAGGTTCTATCTTAGAATCAGAAGAAACTTGTGGATAGAAGAAGTCATCTTTGGAAAATTTGAAGAGCAATCGGTGATTACCGGAATGTTTGAGGTGTTCATTAGGGTCTCTATTTTGGAATAGAATCTTGGTTCTAATTCAATATTGGGTAAAGCAGAAGAGTAAAATCTAGAAGTTCTTTAATTCTTTCACTTGTACCAAAATGTCCAAGTTGTCAGTCCTTCATCGTCCACTGCTTAAGCTGGATACGTATGTTTACATCAGTGGAAAAAAAATAAATCTCAGTAAAGACCTTGGGATCCTGTCTGACTCCTTCCTATCATGACCGGTCAAGGTTCAGTCCTCCTACTGTTCTCACACTAGCTTCCCCACCCCACATCCCCCCAATTCCCTTGCCCCTTGTTGGAGTGCAGGCAGCTACAGCAGCCTCGAAATGACTACCCTGCCTCCTCACTTCTTTCTAGCTCAACCTGCATGCACTGACTGATTAATCTTCATAAAATATTGCCTTCATTATGTCACTCCTGAGTATAAAAACTTTGGATGGTAGATCCACTGTTCATTGAGCACTTACTAAATGCCAGCAATGCTAATCACTTTATATCCCATCAAACTCAATATCCCATCAAATCTGAGAGGCAGATATTATTATATCCCCATTCTGTCAAATAGAAATTTGAGTTTTAGTGAGGATCAGTAACTGCAGTCATAGAGCTAATGGATGGCAAACCCATGACTGCATCTAGCTTCCCAGTCCTCCTGCCCAAACAATGCCCCCTACTGCCTCCCTGATCATAAACTCTAATCCACACTTCATAGCTCAGCCATCAAGGCCCATCTCCATGCTGTCTCTACCTTGTTATTTTGCAATACTCCCTTCAAGAGTCTTCTTCGCCTTTTAGAATCTACTTCTAATATACATGGTGTCCTTGCCTGCACTGCACTTTCTCATCTAAGTTCCCAAATACCCTTAAAAATCCAGTTCAAGGCCTCCCTGGTGGAGCAGGAGTTAGCTCTATCAAGCTATCGGCAGCCACTGCAGCATGAGTTCAATCCCAGGCTAGGGAGGTGACCCACATGGCACAGCAGACCTCTCCTGTGTCACCTGGTGCTCCCCTCAGCAGTGTATTTCAGTAGATCTGCCTGTTCTGGTCCCCACTCTGTCTCTGATGATTCCTCTCAACACAACACCCCCCACCTCTGGCCTGTACCCCTCTCTTCTATGCATAAATAAATCTTAAAAAAATACAATTCAACCCTCACATTCTTCTTAAGGTATTTTCCAGCTTTTAGGGACCTTCCCATCCCTTTGTAGGGCTGCCTGGTTCACTGTCAAGGGAGAGAGGGGGCTGAAATCCAGCCTGTATCCTGTGCCCACAGAGCTGGGCATCTGCAGGGCACTATTCAACAAAAGAAGCACCTTATTTTATTTTTTTCCATTCTCTCCTTTGGGAATCTTTTTATCTTAGAAAATTTTGGAAACTTTCTAACTTTTAGAAAATCGCAATATAGTCCAAAGTAGAGACGGTGGTATGATGAACCCTGATGGATCCATCTGGGGCCCTTTACACTAACCCTACAAAGGTGCTATATTTGTCTGTATCTCTGTTAAAAAAAAAAGAAAAAAGAGATGGCACATTCAAAGTGGTAACAAAGAGAGTTTGAAGGAGAGAGTGTTTGCAAAGGTGTGGACAGGGTTAAATGAAACTGCTTCGGGTGGAATAAAACCCAGGAACTGGGCCTCCCTGGTGGTGCAGCGGTTGGGTGCTGGGCTGTGAAGCTGCCCACAGCCTCTGCAGTGCCGGTTCGATCCCCGGCCACTGGTGAGGGTCCCACATGTCGCGCAGATCCCTCTTGCCATGCCCACTGCTCCCCTCAGCAGTGTACTCCCTCAGTCTGCCTGTTCTGCTCCCTGATCTGGCGAATTCTCTCACCCTCCTGCGCTTCTGACTGTATCCAGTGCTTATATAAATAAATAAATAAATAAATAAATAAATAAATAAATAAATAACATACAAAAAACAACCCAGGAACTGGCTACAGAGGGCTGGAAGGAAAGAAGCTGTTTCCAGAACTACAAGAACTGAAATTGCAGAAGGACTAAAAGATACAGCAACTGCCAGACCCCGCCTGTGAGGGGATAACCCCAGGGCATAATGCCTGGACTTGTCTAGTCCCTCCTCTGACCCCCAGCTGCTGCCTCCTCTTGGTTGAACCCAACCAGCAGCCAGTGGGCCAGGGACCTGGCTGAATGGTATGCAGAGGTCCTGATTTGGGCACAGACACCTGACAGGTTATTAGCATTTTTCTACCTCCTCTGTTATTACTATCGGAAAGCCAGAAGACTTCCTTTCCTCTCTGTTGTCCTTCCGATTTGTATATTCTTTTTTTTTTAAGATTTATTTACTTATGCATACAAGAACTGGGGTACAGGCCAGACGTGGGGTGTGTGTGAGAGGATTCACTAGAGACAGAGTGGGGAGCAGAACATGAGGAGTGATTGAAATACACTGCTGAGGGAGCAGCGGGAGAGACAGGAGAGGTCTGCTGCGCCATGTGGGTTGCTCCCAGGCTGGCTGGGGATAGAACTGGTGCTGCAGAGGCTGCAGATAGCTTCATAGTGCTGCGACCTAACCCCTTGCGCCACCAGGGAGGCCCCTATTTGCATATCCTTGTACAATATATTTGGGCTTAAAATTCTTCCCTTTCCTGCAGGTCATTTTTCTCAGTTCTGGAAACCAAAGGGTCTGTCAGCTTTCAGGAGAAGAAATAGAAACCTATAGGAAACGGTTATATTTAAGACACTTTCAGCTGCTATAATCTTATGCACGATGAATTCGTGCATGAATGAGTTTACCCATTTTAAATCTGAATAAGCGCCATGCCTTCATCCATATCTCAAACAAAATCCACTTCCCAATCTTCACGACATAATGACTAATAAAACAGAGTGCACTGCAAATTCTTTTCTATAAAGCCGCACAGCATAGACGTCTCTAAAAAATGCTCTAATTGAAAATTAAAAAAAAACAAATGGAATGATGTCTCTTTATTTTTGCAGTAAAGCATAACTTCTGTGCTGCCTTTTGATCTATCTGGTATATCAATACATTTTTGTTAGATTCTGAGATCGTTTTCCTGTATTTGATGGAAACATAGAGCAGGAAAAATTAAGGTGGAAGTTAACCAGGGATGGGGGTGGTTAGAAATGATTAATGAGTCGCGATCTAAATGTGGAAATTTTACAAGGCCAGGAACCAGAGGTGGGGGTAGAGAAGATTAAGAGTCGCTACAGAAAAGCCAACACAACCCCAAAGTGGTAAATTTCGCAGAGTGATATATTGCGCCAAAGGAAGATATATAAAGCTACCTGTCCTTTTAAAAATGCAGCTCCTGCCCCAAAGATTGCTGTCCACTTGTGTCTACAAAAATGCCCATGCTGCTGAACGGAGACTTTGTCGAATTATTTCTCAAGGGGATCCAAGAGCTCCCCAATGATAGAACTTCCATAGTAAGACCTGGATGGCTCCCTACTGATGTCCAATTACATGTGAGGGGCACTGTGAGCGGTGCCCACTCAACTAAGCCCATTGGAATAAACAAGGGCCAGTGCAGCCAAGACTTTTTTTTATTTTTAAGATTTATTTATTTATGCATACAAGTGCTGGGATGCAGGTCAGAAATGTGGGGGTGGGGTGGTGTGGTGGTGGTGTGAGAGGATTCACCAGAGACAGAGTGGGGAGCAGAACAGGCAGACTGACTGAAATACACTGCTGAGGGGAGCAGAGGGCGAGACAGGAAGGTCTGCTGAGCCATGTGGGTCAGCTCCCTGGCTGGCTGTGGACTGAACTCATGCTGCAGCCGAGCCTTTGCTGAAACAGGAGTGAGTAGCCAGGCTGGAAGGTGACCTCAGTGCTGGCTGTGCCCCTCTACCTTTTGGACCTGACTCCTGCAGCTGTACCTGTGCTGAGTCAGAAGAGGGCTTTGCTGCTTTCACAGGGCGCTGCAAGGCCAGGCTGTAAAGACTCATTTATCAGGAGCTGACTGCCAGCGCTTACAGGGAATGCCCCTGGGGGGTTGGGCATCCAGGAACAATAAGAGACTGCAAAATCCACCCAGGCCCTGGCTGAGCCTACTGATGCTCAGACTCACAGTCAAAATGGGTAACAATGCACCCCTGTCCTCAAGGACCTTTTCTCCTTTCAGTGTTTTTTTTTGAAACTTTAGAGATAAGGAAACAGTAAATGAGGAACACAGTTGAAGAGGAGAATGGCTGTTTAGTTATGTAGAGGCACATCCTGAGGTCAAGTCCAAGCTTGTCCAGAGAGCAGTCCTCTGGGAGCTACCGAAGCCTGTGCAGCACTATTTTATTAACAATCTTAACTAGTATTTTTTTTTTCTACCGCGGTTACATTGATTTACAGTATTGTACAAATTGGGGGTACAGGTTCACACCTCTTCAGATGTACATCACCACACCACACCCACCCCCAAAGTCCCCATCACCTTCCATGAGATTTGGTTGTTCTAACCAGTGAAAAAACAATATGCAATAAAAAAGATTTA